TCCGTCGTTGGATCCTATGTTTGAGTTGATGATCTTTGGACGTCGGTTGGCTGAGTGATGGAGAGGAAGCGCCTTTATTCTAGTCCGAGTCCAGCCATAACAGTGGAATGGACCTCCAACCTTCTCATGCCTACGGGATCTGCTTGTCCTGAAAGTGAAGGCCTTTTGATACCAGTCTCAAGTCTGTCCAATTGCATTTACAATACAGCGTCTGGTTTTCCTCATATGCAGCAATATGTTTGGTGCTAAGCTGCCCTTATTGAATATTTTTATTGATAAGTTGCTTTATTTCATTTCGTCCTTTTCTTAGAAAAAGATAAAAACACATTAGCAGTTTTCACAACGGATGATATGGTGAATGCACCAAACTGGACTATTCTAAACCAAATATGACCAAATGTGTGCCAGATAACCGACCCGTCGTGAAAACGGCTATTGCTACCATTTTTGGGCACGCTGCTTGGGGTGTAGGGAAATTTTCTGTGCATGAAATAGTTTGCCAAGGACTTAAATTGGTTGTCATAGTTCAATGGTAGAAGGACGTGGGGCTTGGTGCCATATAAATATTTGTGAACGCAATCGAGGCCCGAGTGAACGCAATCGAGGCGCACTATATTTTTGTTTGGCTGCTCACTGTTGAACACTGCTCATGACCCGCGTGACGTCAATTACTATGAAGATCTGCTTCCCCATCAGCGAAGCTGTTTTGCTAGCTGTAGGGTAACTGTGGGGAAAACGCACCCCTGGGTTAAACGCCTCCCCTAAAAAAATCGTATTTCTTATCGACGGATAGGTGTTTTATCCTGTCTTTTAGAACAGTCAGCTGCTTGTTTACGTAGGTCTCTAGTTTCCGGTTCTGCGTCTTGAGGAGCAGCGTGGGTAGGTGCTGATGTTGGTTTTGGGTGTGGTTTTTGTTGTTTTTACAGAAGATTCCTAATATTTTGATGCCCTCTTTATATCACAAAACTTGCTATTGTGCACATCACTCAAAACTGCGTTTTATTGTCATTCTGTTGAATGTATTATGCTGCGGCGTTAGTGGCGCGTTTTTTGTCAATATTTTGTTGACCGGAAATGGAGTGGATGGGGCAAGACGCCTACTCGATGCATGGGGCAAGACGCCCCCAGTTTTCTGAAAGGGGGGCGTTTTGCACGGTGGTGAGAGTGCAGGGTAGCGCCCTGTAAGTCGGGGCCGAAAAGGCCTCTCCCTGTCCTTTTTTGCTGATATATCCTAAACGACTGCAGATATCGTCACCAAACTTTCAGGACTCCTCCGGACATCCATTTTACACATTGCAACAAAATTTTATTCCAAAGGCTATGATAGGTTGACCACAAATGACGTCAGAATGACGTCAAGTTCTGCCATGTTCATCATTTTCTGTTGATGGATGGGGTGGGGGCGCTTTGCACATGGGTGTGGGCGTATTACCCAGGGTATGGGGCAAAACGCCCTTTTGTAAGGGTATGCGAAAACCTTTTTGGGGGTTAAATACCACACGCAGGTGTCTTTTCTTGGTCTCAAAGCGTAGTAAAAAGAATGAGCTACATGATGGTGCCCAAAGGTTTAAGTAATCTGTGTTGGGTTGAGTGTCAGGAGGTTTCGCGCTTAAGGGGGGCGTTTTTGACCTATTCACCCTACCTACGCTCAGGCCAGTTTCTTATGATAGGCTCCGGAGGAGCCTCAGCCTGCGAGCATACCGCTCCTATTTATGTCCTGAAACATATGATTCTGACCGCGCCCCACCCGGAATGTGATCCAAGCAATGTTTTGGACTCATGTCAAACAGTTTAGGTTCGCATCCAAGAACAATAGCTCACGCGTAGGACGATCCGTAAATGTTGATGATCGCCAGTAAATTGAAAACTGAGGTGAAAAACCCCATGCGTATCTTTACTTTACCTCATCTTTTATCTCAGAAATGTTTATATCAACGTAGCATGCGGTTTAGTGAATTCTAATCATCCTTTGGGATCATAAGCTCCAGGATAGCCTACTGAACACGTGATAAAACTGTTTATATACAACAGCTATTAAATCAATTCGTTTTTTCCCTTCCATTTCATCTATGCCCCCAATGTTCATTTCCATTTTAGTCTTTCCATCTGTAGTATCACACGTAGATATACAACATTCCAACAAATGTGATGCGCACACTGCCTTCGTACTATCCATTTACTCAGAGGAAGACTTATCAATCAATTAAGCTAGGCATGCAGTAGCGGTGGAACACCTTCAATTAAGGGCAGTAGTGGCGGAACACCTTCAATTAAGGGGGGGGGGGCACTGCCGACTTTTGGTCCCATTCTTTCCATGCAACGCCCATAGGGCTCATGTTAAAATGGCAAAATCAAGGGCGGCACGGTGCCCTCGCCGTTCCGCCGCCTATGTAGGTATGGGGTACCCGAACCTGAAACATGAAATCACTTTTTGCTTGTACACAATTAGTGCTCAACTGCAGAAAGGCATTTGGTTCCACGCGAGGAACGGAAGCTGCGTTCGTCTCTTAATTGCAAAACCATTAAACCTTCTTCGTTTCCCTCCTTATTCTCTTAGGACAACAGGAAGACGACTTCAATCGGCCTAAAATAAGATTATCTGACTATAATTTTATACGCCAAATCCTGGCGAATGTCGGCAGATCACCTTGAACAGTTAAGCCCACTGATCGACATTAATGTGAAAACGGCTGTGATTTAGCGCAGATTATCCACAGCCCTCGAATAGCTGACGTTGAGTACGCCGGTGGTGGTCGTGACTGGCAGATTGTCTCCCTCTCCCGTGCAGACCGCGGTATACGGCGGCCTTGCCGTCTCTCCAAGGTCGTCGGCCGGTAGCGGGTGGGGTGGGAAGGGAGGGAGGGGCTCCGGTCACCCGCACGCACAACTCGGCGCGCGGCCACGTCCCTGCGGGTGTCGACCTTGCCATTGATCGGCCCGGGCCGGTCGGGCTGCGGGCACCGGCCCCGCGCGGCCCACCCGGGCCGCTGACCGGCCGAGCAGCACAGGGTCAAGTTCAGCTCAAGGTCGCCGCGCCGAGCCAGCTCTCAGAGGAAAGAGAGGCCGAATAACCGAGAGCTGAGGCCAGTGAAAATCACTGAGGCGTTAAACGGGCACCACTTGGCCATAAATATAAAGCCATCACTGCTTGGGAGGACGTTGCGCTGCTCCAGCATCGTTATGTCCCTTTTTATCTGCCATCGCTGTTTTATGAAGAGCATCTTTTCCTAATGGAGCTTCTCTCTCTCTCTCTCTCTCTCTCTCTCTCTCCTCTCTCTCTCTCTCTCTCTCTCTCTCTCTCTCTCTCTCTCTCTCTCTCTCTCTCTCTCTCTCCTCCGGGTGTACCGCAGTGTTACCAGCGGCACTGCGCCTGCCTCTGCAGTTCTGGAGCTCCGGTGCTGCCGGCCGGTAATTTGGCTGTTTGGCAGCGTCCCAGCCGGGACGCAAATTTACAAACTGTATACACGTCTTCGGAGACCGAGCCGTGACGTCATGCCAATGGGCGGAGTGAAAGGCTGTAGCGGCGCTTGGCAGGTGACGTCAAGTGCATGGGCGGAGCTTAAGACTCGCGGATCGTGGAGCTTACCTACTCGATGAGAAATTGTAATGTTGTGTTGAATATTTACAACTAGCTAAAACCCCTGATCTTGTTTGGGAAAATAGTTCATCCGAAAGACCAACTTATACTTACGATAGCATAATTGGTAAACACAGTTGCCTGCAAAGTTTGAATGTCAATCAGAGCGATCGTCCACCAAGCGCCTGTGGCCAAGTGGCTATGATCCTCGCATATCACCTAGAGGGACCAAGTTCGATTCTCGGGGCGGCGAGTTTTTCTCATGAGCTCCGACGTCTAATTGAACGGTTTTACGTAAGCCTATAAGTAATATAAAGCAAACCTCTTATTGACGAACGCGGTTGGCGGCTCACACGCATGTTGCAGGTCAGAGTGGGTGGTATGAAACGACGCGTCTCGACCGTCTCCGTGTTGTTTGCTAGGTGTGCACGCTGTCAGTGCACGGGTTTTGTGCATTTCGCCGAAAATCATTCTGGATTCTAATGAAATCGGACGTCTAAATAGGCCGACTCGGCGGCGCTCTGAACGGCAGACGGCTTAAAAGATCAACTTGAAACTTATACGCCCGTCTAGCGGCATCGATTTTGGCGAGGCACTTTTCGGATCTTCGGCAATTTGGAGCATAGTTAGAGATCCGAAAAGTGCCTCGCCAAAATCGATGCCGCTAGACGGGCGTATAAGTTTCAAGTTGATCTTTTAAGCCGTCTGCCGTTCAGAGCGCCTCTGAGTCGGCCTATTTAGACGTCCGATTTCATTAGAATCCAGAATGATTTTCGGCGAAATGCACAAAACCCGTGCACTGACAGCGTGCACACCTAGCAAACAACACGGAGATGGTCGAGACGCGTCGTTTCATACCACCCACTCTGACCTGCAACATGCGTGTGAGCCGCCAACCGCGTTCGTCAATAAGAGGGGTTTGCTTTATATTACTTATAGGCTTACGTAAAACCGTTCAATTAGACGTCGGAGCTCATGAGAAAAACTCGCCGCCCCGAGAACCGAACTCGGCTCCTCTAGGTGATATGCGCGGATCATAGCCACTTGGCCACAGGCGCTTGGTGAACGAGCGGTCTGATTGACATTCAAATTTTGCAGGCAACTGTGTTTACCAATTATGCTATCGTAAGTATCCTCATCCATGATACTCGTCGCATCACATCAATCAAACAATCAAAATCAATCACGCTGCAACCATCTATACCAATACGGCCTTGGCAACGATTGTTTATAAACAAAATCGCGCGCTCGCCGCACTGCGCCGCCCGCCGCGCTGTGAAAACAGCTGGCTAACCAGCTTCGCTCCGCCCCTTCTCTGACGTCATGGCCGACGTCACGCCAGCGGCTGGTGCAATATGATTGGCGCTCCGAAGGCGTGTGTACAGTTTGTAAATGCGCAGCCGAGGTCGGTGGCCTCGTGCCGTCCCTGGCTGGAGTTGCAGATACGCTGCTTTGTTTTCGTTGCTGGGAGGCCGGGACACGATCAAATAGTGACACGAATTGGGGCAGAATGGAGGGAGGACAGGACGGGAGACAGTGCTGTCTCCTGGGCAAATAAGTCGTTCGTTATCAAGGGACGGGGAAAAAGCGGCCGAGGGTGATGAAAGATGTGCTGTAAAAAGTCAACGAGGACTAAAAGCCAAATAGCTGTGACATGAGAGGAGAAAAAAAAACACAGATAGACGCAGAGAAAAAGAAGAAGGAGCGGAGAAAGCAGAGTGAGGGAGAGAAAGAAAGAAAGAAAGAAAGAAAGAAAGAAATAGAAAGAGAGAGAGAGAGAGAGAGAGAGAGAGAGAGAGAGAGAGAGAGAAAGAGAAAGAAAGAAAGAAGAGAAAAAGAAGAGAATAGATAAATTTTAAAAGCTTGAACCGATTCCGAATCCTCTGTTTGTTGTAGTGGGACCAGGCACTGCGTCGTCTGCCGTATTTCTGGTGGAAAGGGCTGCAGTTGTAGGGGAAGCCGTATATTAGGACAGAAGCTCGGTCACAGCCAGTGACCTTTGGCTGCCCAGGACCAGAGAAGAAGCACGCAGTATGTGAGAAGCCTCGGTCAGTCCTTTATGAGATCTGCATAACAATGAGCGAGAGGGTATAAGCCGGGATTTTCCTTCGCCATCTGCTCAGCGACATCAGAGGATGACAAAGAAGTCACATGGATGATGAACTGACCCGGGCTCTGATTGCTGTAGTTATAAATATGACGTTGGAAAGCGGTTTTATTTCAAACGCTGTAAGAAGAATATAACGAAATCTGGCCTAGAAGACTTCAATTCATTTACAGTCGAGCTGCTTTGACCAATGTTATGCCGGCGGTCAGCACCAACCGGGAACAACACTGTCACTTACTGGTTGAACAATTAACGAACAAAATTCATAAAGAGATACCTATCTGTATATTTCGTCCATGGGTTGAAGTGTGAACATGATGCAAGGGATTTAGCTACATGCTTAGGATCTAGCTACATGTTCAAGTGAAAGCAACATAACTTTGTCTTACGTCTGTTTCCAACAGTTCTTGTGATGTAACGCAAGTGCAGAGAGCGGACGGCCCCTCGCTACCTCCGATCGATCCCAGGACCGGACATCGATTATTCATAAAGCTAAAATACCTTTTTCACGACGGATGTGACATGCTTCGTATTATTCGTCTTCCGTTCCGGCTAAAGGCCCCTGGCCAGCGCCCACTACAGCCCTCTTAACTATGTTTATTTCCGCCCTCGTATCCACAGAATCCAAGAAACACGTCCCACTCAAGGCCGGCGCAGCGCGACATGCCCAAATTTGGCTCGTATTGGGCGGCCGGCGCGCGTGACTGGCCATACCGATCCTCTCCAAGGAAGTATGTTCAGTGGTCTCAGATAGCCAGCTGGGGCGGAGTGACTGAGGAGACCGCTATCGCGGCCGCGGACAGTCCTCAGGCACGTGGGGCGGAATGGGACGCAATCGGTGGCGAGAGGGGACAGTGGGTGGTCGTCTGAGGACAGCGGAAGTGGACGGTCGGAGACGGACTGAGGAGTTACTTTGAGAAGTTGCTTTCCTTTTGAGAGATAGCGCTTCGTGGTGGTGGCGAAGGAACGCGACGGTGTTGAATAGGTCGGACATAGAGGAGCGAGGGTGTGATTGAACAGATGGGTTTCTTCAACGAGCTGTCTGTAACAGGTGAGAACACGGCCAAAATGTATCAGGAAAGAGGGAGGGATAGAGAACGAGAGAGAGAGAGAGAGAGAGAGAGAGAGAGAGAGAGAGAGAGAGAGAGAGAGAGAGAGTCCCGGTGGCACCATCTTGACCTCCGCCTCACTCACCTCACATGCCAGACTGTCTGCCAGACTTCCAATAAAATACCCTGTGTCGCACGCCGTCGCCACGACCCCGACAGCTATCCCGTTTAGCCGGCATTTGTGCAGCTGCAATAATGTCAGCCCCGCACCGCAGTGGCGTGACAGAGCCTGCGGCGTTACGGCGCCGTTTCGCTCGTGTCACTCTAATTAGTGACGCCATGTGTCACACCTGTCACTTCAGGGTCACGCCAGGGGGCTGGAAAAGGGCACAGGGGCTGAAGACACACCAAAAATCGGTGTTAGCCACGGGGATCAGTGTGCTGTTTTAGCATCTATACATACAACTCATTAGCTTATTAGCTTCTAGTGTGTCAGAGCGATATGTGGTTTTTCAAATGCTGGCCGTTGTACAGAATATGGATAGACTTTTTCATAGTTTGACCAGCGTAATGTTCAGCTTAGCGATGAAGGAATTTTTAGCGCAAGTATGTCGCATTTAAAGCAGTTTCACAAAAGTTAAACATGCATTGCACTCAAGCATGTGGCCTAAAACGTTTACCATTCCCACTTCAAATGCCACTACCACTTCAAATCACGTGTTGGCCTGTGGCCAGTCGAACCTTCTCTGCTGACCGTCCCTAACAGACTACCACTTCAGCTGTCTGAGGGGATACAGAAACTGGGCGCGGCCAATGCCCACTAATCCTCTCCATTAGTATCGACCATATGATATCGAGTACCAACTCGATAGAGCCGGGAACAAACAAATGTCTTTTAGGAGCTTGAGCTCAGGACTAATTGCGATAAGCATTGTTTATGGCAGCTGTGAACGTTTTCTACTGTAAGTACCACATGTGAAGTACGACCCGACCGCTGTGTTTCTGAACTTCAATAGTTTTCCGTGAACTCTGACAGCAGCGCTCGACGGTAACCTTTACAAGTGTGAGGAGTGGCCATGCGGGACTCTTGTAAATCCGGTCGGTCTGTCACGCTGACCAAGGCCCTAAATACAACGCTGTCTTTATCTATCCGTTGCGCCGTTAGTCCTGACGACTGCTTCTCGTCTATCAACTTGGTTGGCACCTTCCCGTGAGGATCCCTGGCTGGACTGATACCCTCTGTGCCCCGCTGTTGTATGTAGGTCTGACGACGGTGTCGGCGCGGCGGTGCCCGGCCCGGTCTGTATGTACGTTCCCCACCGTACGGACCCCTGCTGACCCCGTCTACTCCCCTGTTCCAGGCCTGACAGCGGTGCCGGTGGCACCCGAGCCCGACTATTCCGACTCTGAAGAGGAGAACCACCAGGCGCGCGCCAACTGCCGGCTGCCCTGCACCACGCCAGAGGGGCTCATCGTGCCACGCAAACTGGCCAACCCCTGCCTGGAGAGCGCCGACCGCAGGCAGCTGCACCGAGAGCTCAAGTTCAACGCCAAAACGTGAGAGCCTCCACCGTCGAGCGCCATACATTGCTGCTTTGGATAGTTACAGTCTACTTTGAATGCACACATTTTGGTACTGTTGAGCGTTACTTATTTACGGATAGTAGTCACCATTGTGCTAGCAAGCAGAGCGGACGCGGCTTAGCTCACATAGCCACTCCCAGTTACTTTCAATCGTTCCCAACCCATTTCAATTGCTCCCATTTTCATGGCTAGCCAGCCAACAGTTTCCTGTGCCAGCGACGCGTAAGCGTAACGTTCGCGATCACCAGCGCTTACCGGCAAAGTATGTCGCTTGTTGAGCTTCGGTAGCGCAAAATGCGCAGTGTGGTGTAGGCGCGGTGCCTCTTTTATCACTACTGTGTCACACATGATGTAACCCCGGGAATGACGCTAGAAACTAAGCCTCGAATGCCAAGTCACGATAGCTAGTGGCTTCACACCTAAAACACCACACGCGAAATGTTTGTGGTTATGCAAAGCGTATATGACGGTCATAGGGAAACGTATCGTATCGTATATTGAGGGCTTATCCACATGTGGCTATTATGGCCCAGTCATTTTACATGATACAGGTGCGTCGACAAGGAAGCATCTGCATAAGGAAGCATTACACATCGACATAATAAAAATACAGGGTAAAAAGGTGAGTGAGATGGCTTAAAAATACAGCTACGTACACACTACACATAATCTACTAATCAAAACAGTTGATCACCCTTCGCCGCGATGCGGACCCGGTGGCATCTCGTGGAAGCTGATTCCATGCCGCCGCGGCTCTATACGGGAAGAGCCGCCGCGTGGCTGTCGGGCGGTAGCGGGGGAGCTCGATTGCCGCAGCGCCTGCAGCAGTTGCACGCGTCAGGCGCTCAGACACAGCGTGGGGTTGTGTCATGCATCATGAAGATAAGGACATTACAAAGAAATGGCATAGAAAAGAAACGTAAAACGATGCTTTCGAGGCAGTACCCTGTTACTGTTTTCCGGAATGAATGGGTATTCTAGCTGCCGCTTAGCCCTTTGGCTACTTTTAAACGGACATTTCGCTTGCGAAAAGCTGCTCGTACACTCGTCGTATAACTGCTCATTGTAATTAGCTCGAATGTCTTGTCTTGTATTTTTCTCTTAGTCTTAGCATGTCGAATGTTGGAAACTATCCAACAGTTTAACCCGCGCACCGACGGGGGTCTGCGCCAACTTCGTACCGACGGGGGGGGGGGCGGATGACCGCCCCCCCCCTGAGATCTCGAGAACGAAGCAAGATGGCGACAAGCGGTAAACGGCAAGGGATACGCACGGACAAGGTCTACAATTTTTACAAAGGTCATTTTCAGGTCAGATCAAAGATGACGTCACAGGGGTCAAAAAAGTCAAAATGGCGGCGCTAGGTATGGAGAGAGTTTTTCTCGAATAACTTTCGAACTAGTCAATATAGGAACAAACTAAGGGCAGCATCGTGATCCTCTTGTCAATCCGCATCGAATGATATATATGTTGACCTCGAAAGATCAAGGTCAAAGGTTGACCTCAGGTCACGTGACCTCGAGGTTATCATGTATATCATTCAATGCGCCTTGACGAGCTGAACACAATGAGACCATCCGCGCGGCTGTATCTTGTTCCTGTACGGAGTTATTGTCAAAAAACCGCTGGTGACCTTTGATGACGTCACATGACCTTACAGCTGCCCAACAGCAAAACAGACCTCAAGGTAGTGAAGGTTGATCGTATATGAGGTCATGTATGGTTTATGGGGCCATTCCGACCCGTTTTAGTGGTAAAAACAGGGAGTTGAATTTTCCCCCATTGACTTATAATGGGGAGGTCGAGAAATTGACCTGACCTTAGGTCATCGATATCGATATTCCGAGATATACAAATTGTAGCTACTAATGACCTTATAACATCCTGCGACTTTCAAAGGCCTCCGACATCTACTGTAGCTCTGGCACGGTGACAAAGTTGCAAAAAAGTGACTTGAGGTTGGGTCATTCAAAGTGACCTGGTGACCTGACCTTAAAAGATAGGAGGTTCAAACTTGCACACCATGTGTAAAATTGATGAGAGAATAGTCGTACAAAATTTCGCTGCGCTACGCGCCGCGGTTTTCCCGCTATTCGCGAAAAACCTCAGGGGGGGGGCGGATATCCGCCCCCCGTCGGTGCGCGTGTTAATTTCTTGAAAAAACTTACAATTTAATTTCTTGAAATATTGTTTTCCAATAAATGCCACCGTAAAATAATCACGACATATATAAGACTATGTTCGTAACACAGTTCTTCCTAGTACAAAGACAAGTAGGAAGTGGCCTAGCGCTCACTTCCACCAGTACCCAGCCTTATCCGCGCCTCGGGCTGAGGGTGCCGGATGCTGAGCGGACGCGCTCCCTGTCAGATGTATGCCGGGGGTCACCCGGCGTGTGAGTCAGCGCCGACGTCAGCCCGTCAGCGGTGACGTCACAATCCGTCAGTGGCCGCCGCCGGTCAGATCAGAGGCTGACCGATGGGCTCCGGGGAACTGTTCCCAGCCCGGGGCTGCTGACGAGTCGTGTCAGCTGACCAGGGCTGCCTTCTGGCTTGGACCTGTGCTTTCATTGGAGTTGTTGGTGCCTTCTTATGCCCGCGGTTAGTACCGCCTCCTATCAGTCAATACCGCATCATGTCCGTGGCCAGTATCGCCTTTTATCCGCGGTCAATACCTACTCACTGCCGATAAATGTCCGTGGTTAGTATCGTCTTACGTCCTGATGTCCGAGACTAAATGCCTTCTGCCGACCGCCAGCGCCGGGATAGTGACCGTCGACCTTTTCCTTGGAGTCATTCACCGGAGAGCAGTCATGGCTGTGCCCTTCGTCTTCCTTCCATATGAATACGGAGGCCGTATGATACGGTCTCCGTATGCATGTTTAGAGCCGGCAGAGAGGGATTCGTTCTCCTGTCGTCAGATGAGAAAGTAGTCGCAGTACTGGTGCAGCGAGGTCGCCCAGAGACCTACCATTTTTCGACACACCACCCGTAAATCAATTGCCGCAATCACGCCCTGCGCGGGCGGCGACCCGTGAAGACCCTAGCCTGCCTGTCCCATGGGCTGTCTATTGACACGTGACCGTTGCGTAACGTCAACTCTACATATATAGTGCATGGGACAGAGCAGAAGTGATCGATTCGACATGGTGCTGGTTCGACATGTCTTTCACTGCATGTTGCATTTGGATGTCAAAGTCGGTATGACGGATTTTGACAGGAGTTTGTTTGTCTTGCTGGCCATCCAAGTTTTCCGTGAGGCTTTACACGGCGCCAGCCCTTGTGGTTGATATGGGTTTCAATCCATGCGTTTAAAATCACATGGACAGGTCTTATATGGCCATATGCCCGACAAGCAACTGCTAGCGAATTATTGCTAAGACAGGACTGGAGATGACAATGACATTTAGATGACACGCGTAAGTGTCCGTAATTGAGAGAGGTCTTGCTCCTGGTCCTCGAAAGAAATTTGCAGCATCCGTAGCTCTCACATTGTGTATTATCATTAGGTATTCCCACTGCGACATCATTAGAATGACATTCTGACGCACCGCATAGGTATCATGTAGCCTTAGCCATGCCGACAGGCATCATTATCATACGACCTGCCTTCCTGGGGTGTCGTATCTAGTTTCAGCGAAGGGAGCACCGCGGACTAACACCTCATTAACCCGCGCCCCGTTGGGCTCTGCCGAGCAACGCGCCCTGTTGGGGGGGGGGGGCAATTTGCCCCCCTAAGATCTCGAGAACCACGCAACCTAGCGACAAGCGGCAAACGGTGTCGGATAGCCCTATCAGGAAACTACCTTGTGACCCACTTTTATTGACCTAGGTCAAACCGATGACGTCACAGGTCAGGTCAAAAGTCGAATTTTCACCGTTTACAGGCATTTTAAGAAATGCGTTGTACAATCGAGTAAAATGCATTTCATTGAAAATCATCGATGGGGAAATATTCTTCAAACACATATTTTGCTATTTGAGGTCACTGATACTAGGTCAGGTCACAGAGGTCAGGTCACTGGGGGTCTCAATATGAAAGTGTCGTGTGATACATGTTTTATGGTCCATTTTACATGACAAATGCGATTATGTGGGTCAGGCAGCCTTTGGGGCCAGCTTAGGTCAAGGTCAGGTCAAGGTCAGGTCAAGGTCAGGTTAAATTAGGTCAAATTTCAAAGTTGATATTTTTGCATAAAATGGGTATCGATTCGATGCAGCTCGTCACGGGGAGTTCAATGGTGGTCTTTGTTTTGCCCTACGTGGTCTAGAATCGCTTAAAATTGATTTCAAAAATTTGACGTCATCATTTTTTGAACAGTTTTTTCGCTATAACTTGGCCAAAAAACGAGATATCGATCTGAAATTTGGTATGTATATAGAAGAGCGCAGGGACTATCACATATATTCCGGTTTTTTGAAATTCGGAAATTTTTTGGATTTTTTTCAGTTTTTCTAAAAAAATCAATTTTTTGAATTTTTGGGGTCAAAAACCCAAAATTTTGAAAATCCGAGATTGCATTTTTGTAGTGCCGCTTTTTTCTACTAGACCATATAAAGAAGTTTGAAATTGCTTGGTAACTGTAGATTTGGTGAGCGTTTCAAGATTGCATGTTTTTTGCTCATTTTTGCTCGAACATGACCTCAGTTTGACCACAATAACTCCTGACCTAAGGTGACCTAAGACTTGAAATTTGGTGTGAAGGTGTCAAATTGATGCCCTGGAAGGTACTGAAAATTTGGCGGCGCTGCGCGCCGCCGTTTTCTTGCTATTCAGGAAAAACCACAGGGGGGGCCAAATTGGCCCCCTCAACGGGGCCAGGGTTAAGTTTTTATGCTATAGTATCACAAGCGGTCATTGATAACATACCTACCTTAGGCGTTCAGCACTGTATAGATGTGTTGTTCGATGGATGCAGATAAATGACACCTGATGATTTTCACATGTATCGACAATCGATATGCTGTTTGAGAGATATTGCTGTGTTCTCACGGCTCCGTCAACAAATAGGCTGGGCAGATAAGCGATGATACGGTGACCTCATGCCTACACAGCATTGTATGTATACGTATAGTGTTCAAATAATGCTTGGTAATGTGCTGCCAGCGGTGCTTGTTTGCTAGCTGCTGTTAATCGAAAGTGCTTGAGATATAATCGGAATTTCTCAGCTGTAACCGGCAAGCATAATATCGCGAGGCACTAATAAAGTCAAGTACCTAGCCTAGAGACATTCCGATATTGACAATTGCTTTTAGCGAACACCTCTGACTCACAATGATTTTTAAGCGTTTTGAATGTCCTCGGCTTTCGTCGCCTTCGTTGTTATAAGACTCGATTAAAAATGTTTTAAAAACATATTTACTTTTTACATAAATGATTATATAATAAATAATAAATTCAACCAAATAGTTACTAATATTATATATCTACTTATCATTTAAACGAATAGTTGTATATGATTTATTAGAAATAAAATATGGAAAGAAAACAATTACTTTCGTCGCTGACTTTCGCTGATCACAAGCAGTCATACCATGGTATCAATGCATCCGTACGTTTGGTATGATTAGACGGAAATAACTCCAAAATTACATTGCATAACTATTGCCAATTGATCCTATTCGATGTTACCACGTCCTGTCTCGTCGTTAGGTATACCTTCTTAAGACCTTGCTCTATTGATGCCAAATGCCCATCCTTCCCTAATGTTCAGACGTTTGTCCGTACTTCGGCTCTGTGTACCGATAGCAGACCATTCCCGATTTACTCAAGTCCACCTCTACCGTCCCATTCGACCATTGCTTTGCTTTACTTACGTCTTTGTCCCCTCCGCAGCGGCCGCAGCGTTCTGAACCAGAAGAGCGAGCTGCAGCGGGAACTGGAGCGTCGGCGGGAGACCCAGCAGCGGCGCCAGGCCCAGCTGGTGACCGACACCAACCGCAGCAGCTTCGAGCGGGCGCTCGAGGAGCGGCTGAGGCGCGCCGAGCAGCCCCCCGTCCAGGTACGACGTGACATTTTCCTTGTCAGGTGAAGGGAGTATACCTAGCTAAAGTGAATGACTAATTATAAATGAGCGAGTGTGTAAATAAATCGATGAATTGGTAGATGAGGAATCGCTTGTAAGTGAATTGTTCGCGGAAAAGGAATGTGCCGTGTGCGATATATTCTTTAGAATAATGGTTCTTTATTCACATTGGAATGCTTTTAGAGAGCAATGCCGCATTGAATTAGGTGTCGATCTCGAGTGGCGCTCGCGGTTGAGGTCGTGAAATTTGATAACGAGCTGTATCCTGACATGTGAAGACCACCTGACCACCATGGTAGCGATAACCGCTAGGAAGAAGTGGGCACTAACTATGTTAGCCATTGTGTTGATAATGCCTATCATGAGGACGTTTTGACTTGTCTGAATATAAGTCATTTAATTGCGTTGGGTGTATCGTAACTAATTTTTGCGAGCCTATTTGACATCGGGAGCGTGTGCCCACCAAAAGCCAGCCTCCGAATCTGTCAGTGCATATTACAATATAGTCAAATGTCAATGCTAGTATGAGAAGTATGCAATACCAGTGGACACCGAACGCGAACTGGCTGCAATAAGCCAGGCTGAGCCGGTCAGCACCGTCCTGTAAAATTCGTGGCGTCGTATACAGCCGTGTGGCGCACTTCATCTGAACACTCCATAATGTATGAGGACCGAGTACCTACCTGAGCCCGAATTAAATGCCTTGTCAGGTTCCAGTTCACGATGATGCCCTGGGGCGCCCCCTGGCTACTCTGTGCACAGGATAAGCTGCAGATTCGCTGCATTGTGTGAGCTAACGTAACCGTATTTGTCTCTTTCCACAGATCGTGGACGACTCCCGGCCACCGTGTGACGTCACACCTGAATTCATGAAGGTTCACGCCAAGGTACGAGCGAATGTCAACACGCTGTCTTGAAGCCATTGCCCTGAGCTTGGCTGGAGACGGTCTACCGGAGAGGCTAAAACCGAAACTCAGATCCGCCCAGTGTCACCCCGAGGGGAGCTGCAGAGCTGCCGTAGCTTCAGTTGCAGAGTTACAGAAGCTGCAGTTGCAAAGCTGTGGCAGTATGCAAAGCTATATGTTTCCGGGGAGGACAATGACTGTAATACCTATACCGAAGGCCCGCTCTGGTTCTGAGATGACTGTGTGTGATGGCTTATGACTGTGTAATGTGTGTATCATAACTGACCGTCAGTGAGCTGTCAGTCGGCGTGAGGGTTGTGTTCCCGCTGAGGTCGGGCGGCCCAAATGCAGCCGATAGGTGTGCCACAGTCAGAGTGAGGTATTCTCTCGTAAGACGATTGATCGAGCCTGAACGGATGTCGGGGAGGTGCCTGCAAAGTGTAGAGCCGACAATAGTCAGTGTGTGGAGTAGTCTCGCTGTTATACGGGAAAACATGGCCGCGCTCTCAACATTCCTTGCGGTTGATTGATGTCTGCTATCGTGAGTCTACGAACATCCTCTTTCCTCGTAGATGACCTACCAGCGAACAGACCAGCGTATGGCACAGTGCGAGCGCCGCTACTAGCCGGGTGATGTGATAACTGATAAGGTTGTGAGAGATGGAGCCACCAGTACCGAGCCGCCCGAGGAACGCTGGGCCGCGCTACGGCATTGGCGAGAGCAGGACGAATGACTCGGCCAGGCGGACCGGTAGGGAGGAGGCCGTGACCCACGACTGAAATAACAGTGGAAACTGTGAGCTGGTTTGGATGGACGGGAGAGGGACTGGACGGGAGAAGGGCTGGGACCCAAAACCTCTATCCGACTACGGCTCCCCTGCGAATACCCCGAGTACGGAACCATAAACAATCTCACAGCTTTACCCAGAAGAATGAAGGTATGAACCAATGCTCCGATGTGTCATGTACTCCGTCTTAATGTGATGTCAGTTATTTTTATGTGCATTTTCTGTAGCATTGTGACAGGTAAGTGTGCGGTATTTGGTTTTGTGTAACGCGAACAAAGCTATGCTGGAGCTCTAAGATTGTCCTGAGAGTAACTCTGCTGCTTGCGGTTACAGCTTGTAGGCACTGTGCTAATATCGCTTTGTGCGTATCACGACACCGAAGCTGTTGCGGTTCACCTTTGCTTGCTTCAATGTATTGCCATGTCTTGCGAGCGATTTAGCATTGTATGCAGTTGTAAGTACCGACGTCCATGTGTAACATGCAACAAGAACATAAACAATAAAATATTTCCGTAATGATTTCTGAACTGCTGCGACGTCTTTTATACGAAAAAGAATACTGTTATCGGTACATGCATCTAATATCTATCTGATCATAATCAGAGAACACAGAATGAACAGAATCTATGTAGTTATCTCAACGTCCCGCTGTGGGCTGGTATAGCTGAACACACCGTCTCCCGTCTATATAGCTCGGCCTCCTGGGCCAACAAACGGTGGTGGCTCTGAGGCATTCTCTGTCAATAGCTGCCAGTTCAGCAGACATGAGCACGTCCTCAATGCAAACAAAGCCTGACCTGTGAAGATTATCTCTTGCGGAGGTATAGGCGTCAAACAGTGTTTCACCCTTGCATGAAATATCACACATGAAACCATTACATACTGATATATTCTCTGTTTATCATTCATACAACGTTGTGTCTGCGAAAATAGATCACGACTGGCTCGATACGACAAGAACAGCATTCAACACCCATCATTCAACATGAATAGTAAAACAGTTAACCCGCGCCCCGCTGGGCTATTCAGCCATACGCGCCCTGCTGGGGGGGGGGGGCAGATTCTGCCCCCCCTGTCTAACTTCCGAACCGATGGTCGTAGAAAGACGGGGAAAACGGCAATCGAAAGCTCTCAACAAGGCGGATCTTAAGAGCCCAAAATTTTTTGCTAAAGTAGGTCAGAGGTCAGGTCAAGGTCAGGTCAAGGGTACAAAATGCAAGTTTCTACAGTATCGGCCTTGCACCGTAGTTGCCGAAGAATGGACTGAGACTGATTGCCCAAAACGTGTTCTTAGACTACCAGGACAATATTCGTTGCATACAATGTCATTCAAAGGTCAAGGTCAAGGTCAGGTCAGGCCAGGTCAGGTCACCAAAAACAAAATATAGAAAAGGGCATGTGCGACACATGTTTTATGGTTCATTTTACTCATAGAATTCAATAGGCACACTCAATAAGTGATATGGACCACCTCTGCATGAATTTCAGGTCGAGGTCAGGTCAAGGTCAGGTCAAGTGAGGTCAAATTTTGAAGTTGGTTGTTAAGGCCCAAAAAGGTATCTATCTGATGCAGTTTTTCACGGCGAATCGAATGGTGCTATTTTTGTTTCCGTACGAGGTCTAGAACTTCCAAAAAAATCATTTTTCAAAAAATTTGTGTGTCGTGACGTCATGAAATTTTGAATAACTCCCACATTTTTGAACCGATTCTTCTGAAAATTGGTATGTAGATGCACATTGACCACTTCTCTGACATATATTCCGGTTTTTTCGATACACTCAAAATTTTGGATTTTATAACTATTTTCCCAAAAAAATCAGTTTTTTGAAAAAATTTGGGCCAAAATCCAAAATTTTCAAAAAACCGAGATAGCCATTTGATAGACAACGTGGAATCACGTATAACCTTTTTTGTTACGTCTTGATTCCTTTAAAAATGAAGATGTTAGCGGCGTTTGAAATTTTGCCGTTTTTGAGGCGAAAATGGCGAACATGACGTCACTAAAACGCCAATTTCTCAAAAATTTTCCGACGGATTTCGTTCAAATTTTTAGGGAACGTGTCAAATTGATGTATGATAAGGTACTGAAAGTTTGACGTCGCTGGCGTAACGCGTTTAGAAGTTATTGGCGAAAAACGGGAGGGGGGGCAGATTCTGCCCCCCCCCAGCGGGGCGCGGGTTAAACGTCAAGCAACTGATACATAGGAAGTTCCGGGTCCTCGTACCACATCTTGACTTCAAATACGTACAAATCGTAACAATCAAATTCACGCGCAAACGACAGTCGATGGTCACAACTCGCAGGTACCGCTTGTGGCAGGACAGCCGATCAGTGGGCGTCGCACCATCCTGTCTCCCACAGTCCCTTCGTCGGGTAGCCGTCGATGATCTGCTTGGGGTAGTCGGCCGGTACCAGGTCCTCCATCAGCTCCAGCACCCTGTCCTGCATCCTCTTCACCACGTCCGGCATCTGCTCCGCCAGGTCCACCCGCTCATCGGGGTCGGCCGTCACGTTGAAGAGGTACACAGGCTGAGGGTCTCCGTGCCGGCTTGCTGAAACGTCCATAACGTCCACCTCGTCCTCGTTATCGATGTTTACCGCATCGGACAGGTCTTGCACGGCGTCGCCGTTGGAGTCCGGGACCGGGTACCAGTCGTTGTAGCGTCCGGGAGATCCCCAGATCAGCTTCATGTCGCCCTGGCGCAGCGCGGCGCTGAAGTCGCCGTCGTCGCGCTGGTCTATGTTGTAGACGAACTCGTCGCGCGCGCTCAGAGACCCGGTCGACAGCGTCTCCCACTGGTCCACGCCGTCGAAGTTGAGGTCCGAGGTGTCGACACCGGCCAGCCGGAGGAAGGTGGGCGCCCAGTCGGTGACGTGGATCAGCTCTGAGCTCACGTAGCCGGTCTTCTGCAGCAGCGGAGACACAACGAACGCCGGTGTGCGGGTGCCGCCCTCCCAGAGTGTGCTCTTGAAGCCGCGCAGGGGCCAGTTGTTGCCGGCCGCTGTCACGTTGCCACCGTTGTCACTGATGAACGCGATCACGGAGTTCTCGTAGAGGCCGGACGCCTTGAGCGACTCGACAACTCGCCCGACGGCGAGATCGATGGCCGTCACCATGCCGCTGAACGTGCGACGGAGGTCGTTGGGGATGTTGGGGTAGAGCTCTTCGAGCTCCTCCGGCGACTGGACGGGCTGGTGGGCAGCCAGGAACGGCAGATACAGGAACAGTGGCTTGGACTTGTTGTGCTCGCTGATGATGCGCTCGGCGCGAGAGGCGAACAGCTCCGTCGAGTAGACGCCGCTCTGGTCCCAGTCCGGTTCGTCGTTGCTTCTGAGGTCAAGGCTGCCGTTCAGGGTGTGCGTGAAGTGGTCCTCCCGGCCGTTCCAGACGCCGTAGAAGGAGTCGAAGCCGCGGTTGTGGGGGAGAAACTCAGGCGCACAGTGGCCCAGGTGCCACTTGCCGACGGCGTGTGTGCTGTAGCCGACAGAGCGCAGCCGCTCGGGCAGCAGGGTGAAGTTGACGCTCAGACCGGTCGGCTGGCACGGCAGGTAGGCGCTGCGCTGTGACATAAAAACAACGTCACACAATCAGCCCAGCACACGTACTAAAACAGAACGGTCGGAGCCGTAGTATCATCGTCTTCGACGGCACGAGGGGGGTACGGCACAAGGGGGGGGGGGGTACGTTGGTACGACCCCCCTCGCGTTTGGCCCCTGATCGAGCTAGAGCTTCGCGGAAAAAACGAGCGTGCTGCCCGTCACGAGAGGAAGCCGATGATATCCAATTTCAAGGTCCTAGGTCATCGGGTGACCTTCCAGGTCAGGTCAATGACCCGAAAATCGGGGAAATCGGGACCTGTTAGAAAGTCGTAAAGTGTGGCTGCCATGGGGTTTTCCGGGGTGCTGATCACGAATATCGTGTTAGTTTTGATCAGAGATGATGTCTTTAAGCATTTAGACCAGGTCGGGTCAGGTCAGGTCAGGTCAACCGGTAGGGGTCGTGACGGGTATTCGTAATACGCGTCAACCGCCTCTGACAGCTTCGTAACATGTTACGAAGGCACAAAAACTACTTCGCAAATGTTCAAATGGTGCTAAATTCGAAATCAGCTCCAAAAACTAGCCTAGAAACATGTAAAACTCGAAAAAGTGAACCGAGGTCACCAAAGGTCAATGACCTGACCTGACCTTCAGGGGACCTTGACATCCACCCTAATGCATGGGAGCAACATCAAATCACATGTTTGAACGTTTGAAACCACGAAAAGCTTGCAAACGCGCGGCTAATGCGAGCCGACATACGCCGAATCGCGATTCCGGCCAAACATGGTCTCGGAAAGTAGGTCACAGGTCAAAGGTCATTTGAGTCAGGGTCATGAAATTTTCAGGGTAGGTGCAAAATTGATCAATGCGAGGGTACTGAAAGTTTCGTCGCGATCGGCCGCTTTTTATGCGAGTTATTCGTGAAAAACCTTAGGGGGGTTGCATCAATCCCCCCGTGCCGGCGAGGGTTAATCTGGTAAGACAACTCTGCCGTCAAGATAATATTGCTAGCGAATAACCAATTGTTTATATTTATACGAATAACCGTTTCAAAAGTTCATACTTCAATTTTTCCACTCTTCACTTTCATGCAGCCTCAGGCAACTTCAAAATGCAACATATAAAATAGATATACGCAGCGTTATACATTCATTCAACAGCATCAAAATGTCACTCCCCGTCCCTTCCCAGTTTAGGGACAGCATGCCGCACTCTAATGGACAGCCTTACACTGAAAACAATTTCACCCGAAGCTGGCGAATTAAGCGTTGCTCTGCGGGTGGTATATGTGTATTAACTCGCCATGTCCAGATTCTAGCTAGAGGGTAATCAGACTTGCCTGCCTTATTACTCGTAAATATGCACTGCACCCACAGTCTGCAGTAAGGTAGCTACCCAGCACCGGATATTGTCCCCGCGTGTGTCGAGTCATTGACACAGCCCTCACTGAAAGAGTTGGAACTACTCGAGGTATCGTAAACGCGTATCCGTGGATGGCGAACCTTTACATAACCTGCCCTGAAGGAGTTGGATCTACTGTTACAACTAGATGGCGTTGTCTCATACAGTTTTGAATTACAACAATTTTTTAACTTTTTTTTTGAACCAATGATATATTGGCACATTGTTTGGCGGTTTCCAAGTGGGGGCGAAAGTACAATTGTTAGGGTGCACGTTTAAAACCTCTGCAATATTCATCACGGGACGATTGGCAACGCTTTTTCTTCCGAAACTACCTAGTGAAACCATTTAGATTCTTATATAGGTCACGAAAGCAGCGGCGACACATCTTCTTGATTTCGGGCGGTCTGCATGACTGCCGGTGACTGAGTCTTGTCGAAATTTCTATGGGAATTCGATTTGACCTTTCCCACCGATGTGAAACTTTCTCACCGATGTTTTCTAGGTGTGAGATTGCTATAATATAGATATTTTCCCGCAAATATGGTCAAGCGTGGGAGTTTTTTTGGCCCTCTGGTCGGCGAA